TCGAAATAGTTTCAAGAGGAACCGAAAGTGTTTCGGGGTCACCGGAAGGGTTTCAGAGTTTATCGGGAAATACCGGGTATTACCGAGAAATAATATATAGGTGGAAAATGTTTCCGGAGATGTTAAATTATAATAAAAGGCTCTAATAATATTTAGGAGGCTCTCATATTTAATTTAATATCAACGGGTCTTAAAAGGCCAAGTGGTGGAAAGATACATGGGCCCAAGTGGAGGTGGTGCTCCCTTTTCCCACTTGGGAAGGGAGGGGAGGCCCAATTGGATGGGGACTTGATGGGGAATGTTGCATGGAAAACAAAACAAATTACGCACACGCAAGATCTATCCATGGAGATGCATAGCTACGAGAGGGGGAGAGCATCTACATACCCTTGTAGATCACTAAGCGGAAGCGTTTATCACGCGATTGATGTAGTCGTACTCTTCGCGATCCGATCACGATCCAACCGATCTAGTGTCGAACGGACGACACCTCTGAGTTTAGCACACGTGCGGCTCGATGACGTATCCTCCTTCCCGATCCAGCAAGCGGGAGAGGAGAAGTAGATGGGATCACAACCAACACGACAGCGTGGTGGTGGAGCACCGACAGCACTTCGCTAAGCGTCGCCGGGACGAGGCTATGGAACTACGGAGTAACGGGAGAGAGAGGGGTGCCAAGGGCTTGGGGCGCCCCCTCCCCTCTATATATAGGTGGAGGGGCGTGGGAAACAGCCCCTCCAAGCCCTAGGCGCAGCTAATGGGGAGAGGACTTGGACTCCAAGTTCAATCCTATTCCTATTAGGACTCCTTCCTTGTTTGCCTTCCCTAGCCACATGGGCTTTTGAGGACTTGGTGCGGCTAGCACAATAAGTCCAGGGCACCTCCCCGCAGCCCATGTTATCCCTTGGGTCGTGGTGGACCCACCTGTGGACTTCTGGACCCCCTCCAGAGTCCTCCGGAACCTTCTGGAAGCTTCCCGGTACAATACTGAAGAAACTGCAGCTTTTTCCGGAACCCAAAATATGACTTCCCATATATAAATGTTTACCTCTTGATCATTCTGAGACTCCTAGTGACGTCCGGGATCTCATCTGGGACTCCAAACAACATTTGGTTATCACTCATCAAATATCCCAATACTACTCTAGCGTCAACGAACGTTAAGCGTGCGACCCTGCGGGTTCGGGAATTATGTATTCATGACCGAGACACCTCTCCGGTCAATAACCAATAGCGGGACCTGGATGCCCATATTGATTCCTACATATTCCACGAAGATATTTTATCGGTTGAACCTTTATGATAACATACGTAATTCCCTTTGTTTATCGGTATGTTACTTGCCCGAGATTCGATCGTCGATATCTCTATACCTAGTTCAATCTCGTTATTGGCAAATCTCTTTACTCGTTCTGTAATACATCATCTTGCAACTAACTCCTTAGTCACTTTGCTTGCAAGATTCGTGTGATGTGTATTACCGAGAGGGCCCAGAGATACCTCTCTGTCATTCAGAGTGACAAATGTCAAAAATCCCAATCTCGATTCATGCCAACTCAACAGACACCTTCAGAGATACCTGTAGAGCATCTTTATGATCACCCAGTTACGTTGTGATGTTTGATAGCACACAAGGTATTCCTCCTGTATCCGGGAGTTTCATGATCTCATGGTCGAAGAAAGATGTATTTGGCATTAAGAAAGCAGTAGCAATAAACTGAACGATCATATGCTAAGCTAACGGCTGGGTCTTGTCCACCACATCATTCTCCTAATGATGTGATCCCGTCATCAAGTGATAATTCATGTCTATGGTTAGGAAACCTTAACCATCTTTGATGAACGAGCTAGTCTAGTAGAGGCTCACTAGGGACACTGTATTTGTTTATGTATTCACACATGTATTTAAGTTTCCAGTCAATACAATTCTAGCATGAATAATAAACCTTTATCATGATTAAGGAAATATAGTAATAACCATTTTATTATTGTTTCTAGGGCATATTTTCATCAGGACTCCCCTCCCCTTGGCCGGCCAAGGAGGGGAATCATTTCCCTCCTTGTGGTGCCCCTCTCTCCCCCCTCCAACCTACATATACTAGAGGGTTTTGTGACTTTTGAGTACACAAGTTTTGGAGCCTCCTCTAGTTCATCTAGTTCTAGTTGTACTTGGTCCTAGTTGACTATTTACAGCTAAACCTAGTTCCTCTGATCCTCATAAGTAGAAGCTCAATGTGGTTCTAATATCCTCCCTCTAATTCTCCAGCTCTGGACGGCGAAGCGCTGCCGGATCGTGAAGATTGGACTCTTGCAACCATGTAGAGAGGCCACGATTTCGGTCTTCCGTTTCAGGGATGTTCGAGGGCGGTTTGCGGGATCGTCATCAACGATTCGAGGGACTCCAAGTACGATTTATACCGACCCGTCTACTTTCGCTACACTCCAGAGTCGGTAATGATCGTTGATCCAAACCCTGCATCTTCATATTGTTCCTGGTTGATTGTTGGGGAATTTTTTACTACTACGTTCACAACATATTTGAGGTTGGAATAAGAAGAAATTGACTGAACATAAAAACAAAGTTAACAAAAAAGTAAAAGACAGGCAGGAGAGATTGTCTAGCGTTTCCAAGTTAGATGTCCGAGATTTGAGAGTCTTTAATGAAAAGGAACATCACTTTAATATTGCCCATTGCCATAGTGGCATTTATTGAGCAGTCTATCGCTTTTATTACCCCACCACCACAAGTTCGTACGAAGCTTATTTCCCTTCCAATAAAAGATCATACATATTTAGGGCAATTTTTAATGCATGCACCGGTGACAACTTACATGAAGGATCTTATTCAATCCATAGGAAGTTATAGTGTACTCTCATGGAAGAAAGTGGGTTTGTGGTTTTTGGATGAAAAAGTAGTATCTCTACTTAGTGCGGAAGTATTTGGCTATAAAATATTATAAACAAACACCAAATGTTAGAGGATCCATGACAATCTAACTTCTATGCAAATACACATGAACATAACTCATTACGTTGTCTTCCTTGTCCAGTATCAACTATTTGATCAAGTGTGAAAATATTCAATGAGGGTTCACAATCATAAAAGATGTCCAAGATAGTATATTTTCATGTGAAATCTCTCTTCCCTGTACTAATCTTCCATGAATTTTTTAAATGAGCAATATTGTGCTTGTTAAATTCCAATAGATTTTACTTCCCACACCCAATGTGAAACCACTAATTCCCATGAGATATGCATATGAAACTGATTTGCAATGCTAAGATACACAATAACGAAAAACAAAAAAATATTCATACTATTCTTTATTATAGATACTCTCACAAATGGATACAACGAAAACACGAAGTAACGATAACACACATTGCAAACTATTTCATACTATAATTTTTTTTCCAAACCAGGATATAACCAAGGATTGAACTAATAGATAATAATGGTGATAAAGGTGACGATCGATACCGGAGCAGCTCTCCCAAGCTTGGAGCAAGCCAAGGGTGGTGCCCATACCCAAGTACTCAAGTCTCCTTCTTTGTTGATGGTGGCGGTGAAGGAGCTCGCTTATTCTATTTGAGGAAATCAAAAAGGATCTCCTTCAGATATTGGATCTTAAAGAAGCAGTAATTGTATAGCATTATTCTTCACCTCACGCATGATATCCTTGTTTTTTGGTCCTCATAGTTTTTTATTTCATGCATCGCTTTCGCTTGGACGGGAGATGTCTCAGTTGGAGAGTATATGCAATCGGGGAGTATTCTCAACTCCATAATTGTTAACCAAATTATGAAAAAGATTCCTATGTAACCTGGTAGATGGCTTCTTTGAAATGGATCCCTCTAATACCTTGAAGCCCAAGTGAATTCTTGTTGTCTTCAGGGTCCTGGATGAAACCGGGGTAGTCGAGATGCTAGCTAGGGTTTCCCGTGAAGATTCTGGTGCCTGAGCTTCTACGGAGTTTCACCGATTCCTCCTCCATCACAACACGCTCCATAAGCTCCCTCTCAATCTCCTCCTTCAACCGCTGAGCATCATCGTCAACGGTGTTGGAGGAAGATGACCTGACGAACTTGTCCTAAAACCCTGATAGAAAATAGCTCGACACGAAAACATGAGGAAAACTTGATACATAGACCAGAACATCTCGAGGATTTATAGGATTTTTACCGTGCAGGACAAGCATATGGGCAAAAGACGGAGTCGTGAAGGTGCACATAGCACCCACACGGACAGGTGGCGCGACCAGGTGGTACGTCGCGCCCTAGCCCGTGTGGGGCCCTTGGGCACCGCCTGGCTACTTCTTTTTTCCCAAAATTATTAAGTATTCCAAACTTATAGATACAATTCTTATGGAATTTTCGGTGCCGGTTTACTTACCGTGTACTTATCATGTACCTATTCTTTTTCATGATTCTTGATGTAGTATAATTACAGATTTATACAGAACAGAAGCGCTATGGTAAAGGAAAATTAAGATGGGAAAAAAATTCTATGACTACTCAAAGTATGTGTATGGAAAACTATGACGTGGAACGCAAGCACGCGCAACACCGACGCCGCGAGCCAGAGACCGATTGTCTGACAACGTGGCACATCCCGCGTGAGAAGCGCCACGCCACACCACAGGGGATAAGATTGTCGTGCCCCGAAGCCGCCGTCACGTCACCTAACCCACACGGCTATTACGACCGCCCCTTTCCGCCGCGGCCCTACGCCCGTCTTCCCTTCCCTTCCCTTCCCTTCCCTCGGCCGACTCGACCCGACCCCGCGGCCGAAATAAAGCAAGCGACCGACGCAGCGCCAGTGAACCCCACACCACCACCGTCTCTTCTCAGTTCTCACTTCTCACCGCGCGTTTCTCTTCTGCCCCCGCTCCACGCCAGGCAAACCGAAGCCCCCACCACACGACGCCGCCCGCCCTCCCCTCCCCTCCTCTGGAATCGGGCGGGGGAAGAAGTAGTATTCAGGCCTGGCCGGCGGCGGCATGGACCGCATCGTCGGCCGCAAGTTCAAGCTCGGCCGGAAGATCGGCTCCGGCTCCTTCGGGGTCATCTACCTCGGTGAGCGATCGTTCGATTCCCCGCCGCCGCCGCCGCCCGCGTTTGTTCAGTTTTTTCTTTTTCTTTTTCGACTCCATCTATCGTCGTCTGATGCTGTCGCTGTTGCTGCTGCAGCCACGGATATGGACACCTACGAGATCGTCGCGGTGAAGATTGTGAGTTCTATTTCTCATATCCCTCCTCTGCCCTGCCCTGTTTCATGCTTCAGTTTTCGACTGGGTTGCTGTTGGGTAGTTGGGTCAAGCGGAGAGGTGGATGATTAGGTTGCTGTTGAGTTAAGCGGATATATAGGTGGAATGCTGGATTGGTTTGGTTGCTTCCCCTCGCGCGGATGGATGATTCGATTGCTGTGCGTGCTGAATTTGTCTGTTAGTCGTCGCTCTTGCTTGTTTTGGGCTGATCATAATGGGATTAGAAAATGCTGGTAATCATGTGGTTAGAAAGGTCCAAGCACACGCCTTTTATTTAATTGTATGGCTACTTGGGCTGTTTTCCCCTTTCCTTTCTAGAATGCTGCTTGGCTCCCTCTTAGCCTCTTGGGTGATGATCGATACAGGTGGTGGTTGGTCATAATGACGCTTGGCGTAGAGGAATTGTATTTGTAGCCTTGCAGGAAAAGTTGTGAGACCAAGCATACCAGTGGGAGCGGAAAGTTTGATTGCTATTGTCAAAGCTCAGTTGGTGCCCCTGCTTTCCCCCCATCCCACTTCATGGTTTGCCTTGTGAGAGCAAGCATACCAGTGGGAGAGGAAAGTTTGAGTGTTATTGTTATATGCACCGTCTACTTGCCTAGTGAAACCCCTTTTTCTTGCACACACTATCTCCAAATCCTTATTCTGGTAACCTCACTGGCAGGAAAGTAGCACCTCGAAGCATCCCCAGCTGTTTTATGAGGCAAAGATCTACAACGCCCTGCAAGGAGGAAGTATGTATCCCCTGTCATCCAATTCTCCATAGTTCCATGCTGGGTTTATTTGGATAAGATCCAGAGTTGACGGGGAATGTTTTGGCATCCAGGTGGCATTGCGAATGTTAAATGGTGTGGTGTGGATGGGGAGGAAAATGTTCTTATCATTGATCTGTTGGGCCCGAGCTTAGAAGATTTGTTTGTCTACTGCGGCAGAAAATTCACCTTGAAGACTGTCCTAATGCTTGCAGACCAAATGGTAATTAGTAATTGCCTATTTCACTTTATTTCATTACCTTATGCCGAACACTGAAAACCATTTGGAAAGTGTCAACATTTGTTTAGCAATTTGAATTCTTGTGGAACTCACAGGAAAAAAGAACTATATTTCTGATGGTAACCAAACACTGAATGTCTATTCTTGAGAATTTCCTTGGAGAGTTCCATTATTGTGTTGCTCTTTCAATACCACATTACCACTATTTAATAGTAATAAAGAATAGGCAGCAATTGAAATAAGTAAAATCTATCTGAGAACATATGAAATAATTACTGCCAGGACTTTATAGAGGGTTCCACTATGCACTAGCAGATATTTTCTTGTATATGTTGCTTCTATATGCTTCATATTTATTTACATAGTTTGAAATATTGCACAGTTAATCTAGATGTAGTTAAGTAGCCGCATGTGGAATACAGTTGCCTGAAGTTTTTGTTGCCCCCATTAAATATTGATATTATTTTTGCATGATCGAGTTCCATTTCTGATTAAGTAATGCCAGCTTTTCTCTTTCGTTGCCCCTAACAGCTTACAAGGATAGAATTTATGCATTCCAAAGGATACTTGCATAGAGACATAAAACCTGACAATTTCCTAATGGGTCTCGGCCGGAAGGCAAATCAGGTACTTGTTGTGGTGCACTAAAGCTCCATGTTAAGTTCTTAATGCGCTGAACAATCTCGTCAATGATATCTCTGTGTGTGCTTATCAGGTCTATGTAATTGATTTTGGGCTTGCAAAAAGATACCGTGATTCTACTACGAATCGACATATTCCTTACAGGTACATATATTTCTGAAGATGCATTTTTTGGTAGAAGATGGTACCATAGGTTGACTTTTTTACTAGTGTCAAACTAAATGTAATTCTGCTTGCCCAGAATTGATTTAAGCAGTTAGCTGACCCAATACTTGTTATCTGTTGTCAATTCCGTTGCCCCTACTTTACCTTTTTTGTGTCATGGAAATTATAGTTACAGCCGTAGTGCGCTGAATTGGACCTGTGACACATCATGGTCTGACCTATGTCTGTAATTTCAATTGGTGGCTCCCATGTGGTACTTGACCACTGCTACTTTGCTCTTTACTATGTGGGAATGTTCCCATCACAATATTTTTTTTGACTGGTTACTGTAGGGAAAACCCCCACAGCCATTGCTCTTTATTCATTCAAAGTATACAATATGTACAAAGGTTAACAAGAGTAACTCAAAAGAAGGAAAAAACTAAAAAGACCCATAACAATATTTTACTAATTTAGTCTTCTAGGTTCCAGCAACAATAGCCTTTTGCTATCATAATATCTTGATTGTTTACGGACCACTCTGCATCATAGTGTGATGGCATCTATATGAAAACAGCAATGTAAATTATATAATGCCAGAATTTCCCTTTTTTGTTAATTTTATTGCTCTATTATACGAGTTTTCACCTTTGTTCTCTTCTGCTTATTAAGAATGCCTGTGTACCCTGCAATCGGCATATATATAAATGCAACTTGTTCTTGATCTCTGATTAGCCATTTAATAGCGAACTGCTGCTTTACTGTAGGGAACATAAGAACTTAACTGGCACTGCACGTTATGCAAGTAGCAACACTCACCTTGGAATTGGTAAGTCATGACCAGTTGGTTACTTGTCAAATCATCATTTAAATTTGATTTTGAACATTGTTTTTTATTTACTGGCAGAGCAAAGTCGACGGGATGATTTGGAATCTCTTGGCTATGTTCTCCTATATTTTCTCCGAGGAAGGTAGGCTTATACTACTGTTCTGTGGAACTACTATGTTGCTTATGAGCACAGCATCTGGGATGCAGTGTGCTTGAAAACACATTAAGGAGTGCAAGTCTACTTTTTAAAAGATATGTAAACAGACATCATATCTAAAAGAAGCAGTTTCAAGAACCTACTTTTGAAGAACTACGACTTTCTTCACACTTTAGATACTCTAGCAGTCCAGGTGTAGCCTGTAGGTATGAACTGATGTTGGTCAGCTCAAAATAGGCCTTGTAGCACGGGATCTTATATCTCTGCTTGTTTTGTTAGCATGTTTGGGCTGCATCTTACAAAGATTTCCCTAGAACAAACTGTAAATATGAAACCCTTCATTACAAAGCAGACTTCACTATATGCCATATCAAATGCACGCTTGACATTTGTGCAGCTGGTTAATGAAAATCCGTTATATCTCAAGTTCCACCAGCAAATTGTTGTGAATCTGTCTGTGCCTTTTCTATGACATGTTTTCAAGTACCTTTTTTTGTGGGAAATGTAACAGGGTTTCATACCAATCTCATTTTTTTAAAATATAATATCAAAGCTATCAGAACATTGAGGTCTTATTATCCATTTCGGTAATTTCGTCTAATTTTTTTGCCATGTATTGGTGTGTACAGTCTTCCCTGGCAGGGACTAAAAGCTGCAACGAAAAAGCAGAAGTATGAGAAGATATGTGAGAAAAAGATTTCAACACCTATCGAGGTTTATCTCAGAAGCATATTAAACCAAGCTTCAGAAACTGTACTTTTACATCTGTAGCTGAATTTTATTTATTTATCAGGTGTTATGCAAATCCTGTCCAGTAGAATTTGCATCTTACTTCCACTACTGCAAGTCATTGACATTTGATCAGCGGCCTGATTATGGATTCGTGAAGCGCCTTTTTCGAGACTTATTCGACCGCCAAGGTATTCCTTCATTAAGTAGTACTCCCTCCGTTCCTAAATATAAGTCTTTCTAGAGATTCCAATAGGTGACTACATACGGAGCAAAATAAGTGAATCTACACTCTAAAATATGTCTACATACATCCGTATGTTGTAGTCCATTTGAAATGTCTAAAAAGACTTATATTTCGGAACGGAGGGAGTACTACACAGTACTTCCTCCGCTGTAATATAGTGTATAATTTTTTTTTCAAAGTCAAAATTTGCAAACTTTGACTAAATTTTTAGAGAAAAGGATCTACATCTGTAATACCAAATACACACCATTAGATGCATCCTGAGACATATTTTCATATTATATTAGATGATATTGTAAATATAGATATTTTTTCCTTATAAACTTGGTCAAATTTTATGAAGTTTGGCTTAAAAAAAATCTATATGCAGTATATTATGGAACAGAGTATATAGTATATACCTCTGTAATAGCACTGTTAAAAGGTACTACCTCAATTCGGAAATAGATGGCATTTTAGAAAACTTGCAGTCAAACTTCTCTATATTTCAAAACCAATTAATAGAAAAGCTATAGATTGATTAGGTGCAAATGGTACTATTAGCTTTGTCATGAAAAATTGTTTATCTTTTAGGTATTCACAAAAGATAATGGTCAAAACTGCATATTAGATATTGTGCAAAGTAAAAATGTCATGTACTCCAATGTTTCAGGAACAGAGGAGTACATTGTTTCAACATATCTTATCTGAGTTTTTGCTTGATATTTCATCCAATGTTCTGCTCATCTTGCAACAGGTTATGATTTTGATTATGTCTTTGACTGGACTGTTTTGAAATATAAACAAGGCCAAAAGACCCAGGTACTTCATCAGGGGTTAAAATATTTAAGTTTTATTGCAAGTACTTTTACAGCAAGTTTCAGTTTGCATTTAATCTACCATTCATTAGTTTTGGATTCCTTTATGATGCGATTTGATCTTGCACCAGAACTCCCCTCCTCATCCTCCAGTTCTCTTTGCTATGTTATGATTATTCCTAAGCAATGATACTGTTTTTGGGACAAATGCTTTTCAAAATTAAATTACAATACATATCATATTCAAATGGAATCTCATTTTCGATTTAGTTTATGAATATTTAATCTCAATGAAGCCTATTACAGAATGGTCAGTGGTTCAGAGTAATTCTTTATCTACTATATATCGACATGGTGCAACTTTAGTGTGTACCTGACAAATTCGCTTACTTTTTGTAGCATGTTCCTGGGGCAACTATTACTCGAGCAATCCCAACACATCTTGACAAACGAGCGGGTAACTTAGCTTCACCTTTCATAAACATATAAATAAGAGTATTCATTTAGATTATCGTGTAACTTGAGGGCTAGCATTGTTAGCTAAATAGAAAAAGAAATGCCCAAAACTTCCCTGTTGCGAAGAAAGGTATATACCCTAGGATGCATGTGCTTGCTATACTGGGGGCCTAAGGTATACATATGTCATCGGAAGCAGTATGTGTGGCTAGAGAGTGGAGACGTGTCAATGAGATTAGAAAGTACCTTACCCATGGTGGGAAGAGTGGGACGACCAAGCAGCTGGGTGTGACTAATCTCAAACTCCTCCTTGAGGTCCATTGCAGACTGAAACATAAAGATTCGATGCTCATGCTTGTCCTTGGCCATGCAAGATCACATCCAGAACAACTCATTGAAGTCATCAAGATAAGTTGGCTAGAGATGCGAGTGAAAGCTCTACAGTAATCCTCTATGGACATGTCCTCTTGCAAAGATTGTGCAAACTTTACAGTAAGAAAAGTGAAGGGCTCCATTTGGGTGAATCTATTGCTTCTCAAAATGCTTCCATATCACCTTTGCTAGTGATACTTAAGAGTTAAGACCCTTCCTAAGTGAAGGATAACATTGAGAATCAAAGCACCAATGGCCTTAGCATCATCATTTTGCCTTTTTGTGGCTTCATCTTCCTTGGTCAAATGGTGGTCATTGAGATCGACAGCCCTTCAACTCTTTCCACTCTCATTGACCGAGAATGCATGTTCTCTGTAGTTGGAGGCATCTCTTTTGCTATGATAGCTGCAAGAAAATGCACCAAGGACCTAGCTAAATTCTTTCCACAGTTAAACAACTAGCTGTCGGCAACAACTAGCAGCACAAGCAGCCAAGCAATCAACCCAATTTATCTCCACTAGCAACTTGGCTCTGCCAAATAGCAACACTGGGAGCTAGACAAACAACAGCGGCAACAGATTGGTGAGGGGCAGCAGCAGCAGCAGATTCATGAGGGAGCAGCAGCAACAGATTGCTGAGGGGCAGAAGCAGCAGCAACAGATTGGTAAAGAAAGACACAGTCAGGATGGCCATGAGCTTGACAGGAAGGATTTGGGGCAGCAGAGCTTATATTACGTCCTCTGAATAGAGGAAATGCCCAAATTGACTTTCCTCTATCGCAAATAGAGGGATACACCATAGGGTACACGGGCCTTATGGGCTTGCTATGGGTCTAAGCTGTATATATAAAATATAAATGATATAAACATGAGCAATACTCTTAACACCAATCAATGAGAACCATCTATCTTGTGTAGGGTCTTGTAGCACGGTATCACTTTGACGTTACTATTGTAAATGGGCCACAGTGATTAGATATAATGATTTTGACTTCGAATGCAGTGGACATGGCATGGTTGCTTAACTTGTCACTTTTCTTAAGTACTAACATACGGTTCTTGCTTCAGTTTATAGCTGCATTTTGCTGTTAGTAGATCAGACTAGAGATTCTGCCACATGACACATGTTTTGATAAAATTGACTAGAATATTGATCTCTTATCTGAACTTACGACTAACAGGTGTAAATGGGGATGTCCATCCAAATGAAGCCCATGAACAGATGGAGTCAAGCCATATGACCGGGTCAGCTGCACAGTTACAGGTGAAATTGGAAACAGAGAGATCCTTACCCAACCATGCATCATACTGAGTTATTGACAGTTCCTGATCAGTTTGTTTATGACTTGTTTTATTAATTGAAGATAACAATCTCCACTTATTGACTCAGAGTATATTCAGTTCTTACTACTACATTTTCTACATTACTTTAATTATTGTACTCCACTGTTTTTAGTTTCAGTCTATAGATGCTCAAGTGTGCTCCATGCTTGTGTAGAACTTACTGGTGTTCTTAGAGAATTTCTAAGTAGAAATTTACTTTGCTAAAGGTTTCATGTTTACTGGAATGTGGCCAAATGCAATTGTTTCATACAGTTCATAATGAGAACCCATCTTTCCAATGTAAATCCAGTAAATAATGGTACATTTAGTTAATTTCACCATATGAGCAGCACCACATAAAATTTACTAGTTCTGGTATATGTGAGTAGTTGTGCTTCTGTTAAAGGTTATTTCTTGACATTATTGACGAAAGGATCAGGGTGTGTATATACTCTTGAACAGGCTAACATGCATGCTATTTTGAATTAAGAAAGCATCAAAATGATGCTAGCATCATATATTTCATAGCATGTGGTGTATATATTTTATTGCTTAAGCAGTTACTTATGACATGGTTGATCTAATCAGAGGCAAAATATGGCTGCCAGTGCCAGAAATGAAAACCCGAAGAATGATGGGAATTCAAGACATATAGTGCGTATTGACGCTTTTCATCAAAATCAGGGTTTTGACAGCAATACTGGCTCTCCTAGCGCTTGTTTTCCGACACTTCCGCACAATGCCCCAGCAAGGTGATAGGTAAACTTCCAACAGTAGCCCTGACCTTGTAGTACAACTCTTGGGACTATACTCTTGTTCAGTTAAACGTGGTAGTTCTAATGAATTTCTGTTGCTATACAGGTCACCTCTCTTGTGGAGCTAGAAATGTGGAAATGCTCAACTAGACTCCATTTCTTTTAGAGTGGTCAGATTCAAGAATCACAAAATCAATTGAAACATCTTGATGCCTAATGCATGTTACAAAGATGGCTACAGATCCGATTGATTATGCAAGGTTTTGATCACTGCTGCGTTGGATGCTCCAGCAGTTTCTGTCACTCTTACTTCAGACATTTTGTTGTCACAGTTGCGGAGGACATGTAAGTAGTTCATATGTCAGATAAATGGCATGGACATTATGCAATAGTGATGATGTTGGGTGTACATAGTTCATATGGTTAGATAAATGGCATGGACATTGAGCAATAGTGATGTTGTCGGGTCATTCAGCATCTGGTAACTATCCAATAGACATGTGGTGATAAGGTTATTCATGAAAATTGCATCATGATCTGAAATATTTTTAGCATTTGATACTGAATTCATGAAATTTGCATCATGATCTGAAATATTTTTAGCATTGGTTACTGAAGACGCCCGAGAAGCGAGAACGTAACACTAGTGTAGTAGGCTAATCTCAAGTTGATTGTTTCTGCATGGAAATTGGCAGAGGGTTTTAAGTAGGTTATTAATTACTGAAGCTTTTACATTACGTATTTAACTTTAGTAATCACATGTTGGTTGGTCATATATATAATTCAAATATCTTTGAATGTTTGTTGGCTAAAAAATTGAGTTGCTACATTAGGGAGTTCAAGTGGGTTTATTTTTTATTTTTTGTTAGAATAAGTGTAAATATCATCTTTTAGTTCACTTGGCCTTGTTCATTTCTGCAATAGTTTCCGATAAATATGTAGATTTTTTATAAGTGTTTTTTGCTTGAGATTTCCTTTTCAATACTGAACTCATGTGAAATATGTTAAACACTACTTGTCGGCAATGCTGCAGATTTTTGGCTAGCTTTATAAAGCGGAAAAATGCAGTATAACTAAACCAAATCTCTTATGTAGTTCACCAAGGATTCAGTATAATACTGGCCACCTTAATAAAGTGAAGAAGATTCAGTATAACTAAACTTATTATCTTATGTAGTCATGGATGATTAGTACTGTCAGACTGTCAGTAGGCCTTGAACAAACAAGATGGTCGATACGCACATCCGTTGTTATGTGTAACTTAGCTCGTGTTGTACTACCAATTTTCGAACCAGAGTTTCTAGTATGTGTGGAGATCAAATATGGCTGGTGACTCGTGCATTTTCTTCCATTTCTCCGCAATCTCCTTTTTCCTTTCATGATTGCAGGCGCCTATTGTGTTTATCCTCTCCTGAATCGAGAAAGGACTAGTTCCACTCCACTTGGAAGTTGGAGCACCCCAAAAGTTGAGCGTTTTGTCCAGCCAAGTGCTGCCTCCACTCACTGCCAGCACTTGTATGCTTTGTTACACGAACGGCAATGATGCAACACCTGCTTTATGGAATCTTCCATTTTTATTGTGCAGAAAAGAAGAAGAAGAGGAAGAGGAACACGCACTTTTTGTCAGGTGTATGCATCGCCGCTACGTAATCAGGTGCACGTAGAGGTCTCACTTACGTGCGCACGTGTTACCACACCAAAGCGTACATTTCGTGTTGCATTGTTTCAGTACCAACACGATGGCAAAATGTCTGCACAGACAGGTTTTTGTCTCTGCCTTACGCCACTCGATGTCACAGAGCACTGAATTATGGACTGGACTTAGCTTCATAATTTGTTGATCACCACGAAATAAATAAAAGATGTTTTCTTTTTGCGAGGGGAAATAAAAGATGATGTTTGTTTGGAACTTTAAAGAGGCTTTAGCTTGGGCGAGAACAACAATTAGTCTGTCCCTGCACTGCACGGCCAGATTAGGCAATGATGGAACGCAGAGCACAGCATTCCGTAGTGGATCGCATCATAGCCGAGCAACCCTTTCGCTTGTCATAACACATTCTGCGCCATCCTTTTTCGAAGAACCTGGAAACACTTCCCATTTACAACCTATGTCCCTCTACCCCGGTTAGGTGACATACATACACGTAGGACTTCTGCCAAGTCACGAGGAGTAAAAAAAAAACTGAAATACTCCCTCCGTCCCATAATGTAAACGTTTTTTTTGACGTCTTGCATTATGAGACGGAGGGAGAAGTTGGCATCTCTTCGTGAAACGATTTGCTACTTTATTGGGATGTAAATGGCAAGTAAGCGGCATCGTCAAGTCCCGTTTATTAGGTAGCTCCCTAGTTCATTTTCGCCCAAAAGAAAACAAAATTTTGAACTGTTAGTTTATTAGTGTGTTTAAACGGGAATAGACGGGACCCAAGTCCCATCTTGTAGTACTAATTTTTCGTCTTTTTGTCGTGTTTTCAAAGTTATTTCTAGTTAATTATACTTTGGGGGTTCATGCAAGCATTATTTGCTAGAGTACACATAAAACCAGGCATAACGTGATAAGCTATGAAACTAGCGTAATTTTGTTAATTCATGCATGAATGCGTATGTTATTGTTTGATGTTGTGTGCGCGCATGCGTGCTGGAAGCCCGTTGTTGTTCTTGTTTCTAGTCAAGCCATGTTATTCAGTACTGAAATCTGACCATTACTTGTTCTAATTACATGTTAGCATAGTCACAATAAACACTGGTTTGAATCTTCAACTTGGACGCATAACCGGCTTTATCTAGAAAAGACTCCGCAGTTCGTTCTCTCCATTCGAGGAGCAGAATGCTTTCGCACGGACGGCGGAAAACCCGGGCTGCTGGTGGAATAATTCTCTCTGACCAGAAAAGGTCTTGTTCTTAAGCACCCAATCATGAACCTCCTCTCATCAATTATTTCCTGGGAGCATTAAGAAAGAATCCATCCCCAAATATTCAGGCAGGAGGTAAAGCTCCAACTCTCGCATGTTTTCTGAAAAGCTACAAGTGCTGTTCAGTTAAAGCTTGTACAGTAGTAAATCTAATGCTAGCATGGGTTCTAGTTGAAACGTGCAATGCCAAACCCAAACATTTCTGTTCCTCAAGTTGCAGACACTCCTAGTCTCCTATGATCTACCCACTACTTGCCTCGACATCATGGAGACTAGCCGAACTCTGTGCTCTCTGTTGCCGCCAATGGTTTTTGGATAATAGACATGTAAGGATAGATACCATCACCCGATTATAAATCCTTTCTGAATACCTTCTCGTTTAACCATATGTTTCTTTTGTATGCAATATAGCATGATCAGTGCAAATTTTCAGACGAAACCTCACATCTGCATGTACGCTACTACCAGTGCTCATCAGAGTTCAGAGAAAAGCAGATTGGGCATGTAGCATGGTGTTTGCTGTTAGTCCCAGATTATACGGTGAGAGAGGTTCAGGTGGCAGATCATGTCTCTCCTATATTTTCATGCCCACGAACCAAGTAGATTGGTATATAACCCACAACCCTCAAATCCTCTTCTGTCGCTCAAGCAAATAAGATGTGGCTTTTACACAAATCACTAGAATGGTCATGGGCTTCGTTGTATCCACTTTCTAAAACTAGCAATGTATTTCTAAGTTAATGAAGAACTCTCGATCTTCAATGGATTTTGTCACTTTTGTGTAAGTCTGTATGTGTCTAAGTCATACTCCGATATTTCTCAAGAAAAAAAAACCTTATAATATGAAATGCAGCATATCAGCTGTTCTGTCAACTAAGGGCATGTACAATGCATAGCCTCAAGGTGATGCCTCGCATGCCATGTAGAATCGGATATGACGTAAAGTAGGTTCAGTTGGGGAAGCGGGATCCTCTTCACGAGGCGGGTGCTTGAAAGAAAAAGTGTGGTCCGGTGACAAAAGTTGAAAAGGTTGGAGTGAAAAGTAGAGATGGATGTGTGGTAGAGTCTTTATTTTTTATTTTTTAATGAGGCCCACTAATGGTAGCATTGGGGAGAAAAAATAAATATAGATGCCTCAAATCCTAAATGGCCACTCACACACCTAGCTAAGCTCGCTATCTTGCTCAAACATTAATGTGAAATGTGAGATCAAAACAACACTTGTGCTCTCATTCCAAATATCAAGAGACGCCAGGGGCTCCACAAGAGAGCAGACTGCCAAAAGATACTCTACTCTGCCGCAGTGCTGCCAAAAGCAACATTTTGAGCACTTTTATGGAGGCTTTAGTTAGCACCCACTATCAGCATGAGCCCCTCTAAGCACAGTTAATTAGCAGCACTTCATGCTGCTTTGTCTTTTCCTGGCTCCCATATATAGGACAAGCCTGACAGTGTCATCCGTGTGTACTTGACTGAACTCTCAGTTGCTTATGTCAGATAGTGAGCACTCTGCCGGTCAAGCTCGCTCTCAGCTCTAAGTTGTGTATCTCAGTTGCTTATGTCAGATAGTGAGTAGTCTAAGTTGTGTATCTAGTTGATGCTAATTGAGCTTTGTCCTAGCATCAAGCTCGCTCTCAGCTCTACTCGTCGTGTGTACGTGCCCAAAATTCATTTGATTCTCAGCTGCAATCATCAGATGCTAACTGCTGACATTTTTAAGCTGTGGAATGTTCGAACATGCTGTTGACTTTGTGTAATTTTGTTCAGTACGAGTAACATTTACCTCCTGACTCTCTCAGGCAATGGAGGAATGCCTTGATCAGCAGCAGCAGCAGCAGAAGAAGAGCAACAATGGGCAGCTCCAGAGGCTTGAGGGCATCGAGGAGGAAGGCGGCCAGGCCCCGGCGGAGAAGTGGCCTCCGACGACGGTGCGGGCGCCGGAGACCCCGACGGAGACCATGGAGTTCCTCGCAAGGTCCTGGAGCCTTTCGGCCGCGGAGATATCCAAGGCGCTCAAGGTGCTGAGCAGCAAGGGCGTCTGCGACATCCCTGACGTCGGCGTCGTCGCGGGCGCAGGTAAAGAGCAGAGACCGCCGCCGCCGCCACCACTTGACGCGACAATGGCGGCGGCGCAGGCAGGAGGAGGAGTGGCGAGCCCGCCGTTCTCTCCCAGGGCGGGCAGCATGGACGCGCAGCTCCTCCGGGCCGCCGCCGCCGCGGGGAGGGCAGGGGGCGGCAAGACGACGATGGGCGCGTGGATCAAGGAGCAGAAGGAGAAGAAGCGCGCCGAGGCCCGGTCCCGCAACGCGCAGGCGTACGCGGCGACGTCCGTGGCCGGGGTCGCGGCGGCGGTGGCCGCGCTGGTCGCCGGCGCGGTGTTCTCGTCCTCGCCCGCTCCTCCTCCTCCTCCCCCCGCCGCCGCGGCGCCGGAGCGCGCCCAGAGGGGCGACGGCGGGGCGAAGACGGCGGCGGCCATCGCGTCGGCGGCGGCGCTGGTGGCGTCGCACTGCGTGGAGATGGCGCAGGCGATGGGCGCGAGCCACGAGCAGATCCTGGGGTCCATCCAGTCGGCCGTGAACGCGCAGGCGAGCGGCGACATCATGGCGCTGACCGCCGGCGCGGCGACGGCGCTGCGCGGGGCCGCCATGCTGCGGGCGAGGCTCCACAAGGAGATCCAGGCCACCGCCCTGCCCGGGGACGCCGGCAGGGCGGCGTCGGAGCGGGACATCTCGCCGCTCATCTTCGTGTCCAGAGGCGGCGAGCTCCTCAAGCGCACGAGGCAGGGTACGTCCGTGGATGATCGACCACCGGCCAAGAATCCATTACCGTACTCTGACACGAGTGCATGCATGTTTTGATCACAGGTATCCTCCATTGGAAGCTTGTGACGGCGTACATAGACCCCAACTTCCAGGTGGTCATCAAGATGAAGAGCGCGCACATGGCGGGAACGTTCATCAAGACCAAAAAGTGTAAGCAAGTTACTCCCTCCGTTCGGAATTACTTGTCGTAAAAATGAATGTATCTAGATGTATATTAGTTCTAGATACATCCATTTTCAAGACAAGTAATTCCGAACGGAGGGAGTACTTCTGAATCCACTAGAGTGGTGGTGCATGGACAAGCTCTGTAACTGCGACGTGTTTTGTTTGATTCAGGTGTTGTGGTGGACGTCCGGTCGGAGGTGGCGGCGTGGGCGGGGAGGGAGGTGGAGGAGGGTGGCCGTCGGAGGGGCTACTTCGGGGTCCGGACGGAGGAGCGGGTGATCGAGTTCGAGTGCCGGAGCAGGCAGGAGCAGCACAAGTGGGTGCAGGGCATCACCGAGATGCTCAACCGCCGCGACAACATGAACATGAACATCACCCACCTTGTAAACTAAATCAGTCAGATGCCATGGAAATGCAGCACTCCGTCGGTGCTATTCTGGCTTCGTGTGATCGATCACATCTGCATGTATATATGTTACTCCTTGTGACTCAGTATTCTGCTTGTGCTGGAAAAAAATTCATGTATATATGTTCCCCCAAGTCCCAGCGGCAGCGCCGCCGCCGCAGCGCGTCGTGCTCTCCCTCTCCCTCTCCCTCCTCCGGGTGTCATGTTCGCGCACGGCTCTCTCGCGAGGTAGGCAGGAGTACGACTCCACTCCATGCCATTGAATCGCTGTTTACTACCACCACTATTTTTTTGTGCACATACAGCAGAAAGGAAACTTTTCCCCTCCGAATCGAAACACGAGAGGGCACCGGAATCCTTCCGGTCTCCGGCGGCGGCTCGCCCCCAACGCCACGAGGCACTAAATTTACTCGCGCGGCGATCTCCTGCGTCCTAACACCAAGCCGCCTCCCCCTTTTTCTTGCTTGCTAGGTTTAGCCGGCTTGCTCGAACCCGAAGGCCCCCGCTGGTCGCTGCCTCCCCGCTCCGCTATCTCCAGGTTATAATTCCTACTGTATGATGTTAAAGCTTCTGTGATTTGCCCCTGATGAATTTTGGTCCCCTTTATATATTGTCAAAAAGAATCGAGTGATTTGTATGTTTCTACCTGTTCTTCCCCCCTGCTTGTGGCTTGTGCCCTTCAGCATTAACATAAGTTGTAGCTGCCTCGTACGTACTACGGTACGATGTTTATATGCCGGTGCTTTGACTTGCAGGGATCAGTTGGTCCAAATAATTTGCCCTCTGTCATGGAACGGTCGCAGGGAGCTTCAAATAATGCGGCGAAACACAGGAAAACTAATCCACCCGTGCAGACATGGAGGCCAGTCTCAACACAAGCATCTCCCCGGGAAGGTATTTGCTACCTGATTCTGTACCTTTAACTAAAAAGGTTAAAACAAACAAATATGTCAAAAATAATATTGCATCTATGGTAACTGGAATTCTTGAAAAATATCGTGATACTGCATATTGCTAGCCAGATGAATGACTTATTATCAATGTCAGTTTAGGAGCTCAACCCTTGGGTACACATGGTACAAGTTCTTTTGGATTTGTCTGATTGCCCTGTCATTGTGTAGTAATTACTACAGTACTTCTTTGGTAACTGCAAGCCCATCAATAAATTGTGACCTGATGCTCAAAAGCTCAGAAAGTAATTCAGAATCAGGCTGCCGTAGATTCTTTTTCCCTTGATGACTTCTTTCTTTCTTTCTTAATTCGACCCCTTTTGCATTTTACTTTCGTGTGTGCATAGTTGTGTTGACATTTTAGAATGACATTATATCTCCACATGATGCAGCTCACCTTGATGAGATATCCAATTCCGGAAGGAAGCAAATGGCAGGGACTTCCATCACTGATAGTGAGAATTTGGTGTTGGAACAAACAACTAATGTTGGCATTGAAGTAACCACCAATAATACTTTCTCGTCAGAAAGTAGTTCCACCTTTAGTTCCAGTGCAACTAAAGTAGCTGCAGAAAACACTATGGAGGTTATCAGAGAAAAATATTCCTCTTCTGTTGAGGTATGCTACACAGATTGATCCATTAATTTTGTTTTCAACATCTCTATAAGCAGTTTTGAAACTCTGTTCACAAATTTTTTCCAGGTAGATGTTCCTCTAATGCGTTTTCTGAAAGGAAAGGGGTAATGACCTCATACTTAGAATTATTTGTTGACTTGAAAAAAAACTTCTTGGCCTTTATTTGTTAGTGTAATATGAATTCTTTGGTTTCTAGTGGGTCTGTGCAGAAGCAGATTGAACAGGAGACTGGAGTTAAAATCATTTTTCCATCTGGAAAGGAGGAAACACTAGTTGGTAAAAATATTCCCATCTTTCTTTCTGAAATTAAGTTCAATATAAGGTAATATATTACTAGTTGTTTTCAGAGCTAAAGAAGTAACTTTGTGAAAATACAGCCCTCGAAGGTAAAAGTGCTGAAAGTATTGGAAAAGCATCAGAGAGAATTGCAAAGATCCTTGAAGAGGTAAATATTCAACACATTGCTTCAATAGATGATTATGGATGTTTAGGTTGTTTACTGCATCGCTGTATGTGTTTATCTTTGCTGTCATACTGTTGGTGTACCATAATTTATTGTTTGATTTTACTTCCCATTTTCATCTGGTTCGTGACACTGAAGTTCTTATCGATACCCTCCATTATCTTTGTATATGTAAATCACAAGCTGGCTTACTTAACAAATATAACTTCAATGAATTAAAGTTTAAGTAGTCTATTCAGTAATGTCAAAGTGCATGCGCAGAACGTTAGAATCGCATAGCTCCTATATCTGTTGCAGAAAATCCAGCGCGAATCACCAAGCACATCTTGTAGAAGTGACATTGTTACTGTATATTTTTTTCCGGAAAGGAGGTGTGACCCTTGGCCTTTGTCTCGAGTAATGCGCACGGTCATTTATTGTTGTTCCTGTTGTCTCCAGCCTTACATAGAGTTCGCAACGGCAACATCATAGGGAAATAGGGACTAGTTTTATGATCTGCTCATTTATTTTCATATTCTTACGAAAGTAGTACCATCACCGAAGTAATTGAAGTGTCCATCACGATTGCATGTTTTTTTTTAACAAATTTCATGTTCCTTATTTATTTCATACTGTTGGATTGGTGACGAGGCCCTCACTTCAACTTTAGTGGCAGACTTGTAATCCCTCTGGCTGAGTGCAGCCCCATAATGAATTTATGTCCATATGTTTGTTATTTTGTATAGTTGTAATAGTCACTATGAACAGTTGAACATCGTACATGTTTCAGGCTGTTCAAAGTCCAATGCTAGATTACTCGCATTTCATATCACTTCCATTGGCCATCCACCCCGATCTTGTCGAGAAGCTCAATAACTTCCAGAGGTCGATCCTTGGGGTGTCTGCATCTAATATAGATAGTGATAAGGATGAAATCCTAAGCGAAGGTTCTGTGGATGAAATTGATGAAGCAGCGAGCCCTAGTGTTCCGGTCAAGCAGCCAATCCAAGAAGAAAAGCCTGTCATAGTGAAAATGGATAATAAGGGCTCCCAACCAGGTTTAAAGCTTTGCTGATTTTGTTTAAGTGTCTCATGTTCCTTCTATGAGTTTTCTACAGTAAACACTATCAACTTATGTTCTTGATAAGTAGGAATGGTCAATGGAACATACGTAACTTTGCTGCAGTTTGAAGGGAAATGACTTAAACGGCCTATGTATAATATGCAATTCTACGAATCACTTCATGTTTGGGGTATGAAATTGTGGAACAGACGAAATGAACAAACAAAGATAGATAGCCATGTTTTTTCCAAGTTATACAATGTACTAAGCAATTAATATATAGAGGGGAATTGTGTTTATGAAAAAAGCAAGATGTGAATATGTGATGTTATTTTAGCTTAATTTTGGTCTCAAGTATACTTTATGTCCGAAGTTGTTCTGTTTATATTGGCCGGCATGCCATACTTTTTATCTTGATCCTGATAGTTCAGTAGCTCCAAAGTGTCATGCTGATATCAGGAAACCAAGCAGCTCACTGGTTAATAGTGAGATGCTGGAGAAGCTATATGCAAATTGAAAAGAAAAGGGAGTCTAGTAGAAATGTAATGTACTTAAAGTTGAAAGTGTTAGATGTGTATAGTCCCCTTTCTGTATATCCCCATTGTATAAGGGGTTTCCTGCACTTTACCACACATGTATATGTATTGGCCTTTGGCCCTCAGTGAATACTAGTTGCTCATGATCCAACATGGTATCAGTTGCCAGGTTAGCCTCTCTCCTGCACGATGCAACTCCGTGCGCACTCCATACCAGCTGCCGCCGCCGCTGCTAGGTCCGCTTCCTCCTAGGCCGCCGTCTCTCTCTCTCTCTCTCTCTCTCTCTCTCTCTGGCCGCCTTCAGCGCGGATCCGCCTACTGCCGGCCTTCCTCTGTCTGTCGCCCCCTGGATCCGCTGCCACTGCGTGGCCACCGTCCCAGCTCGGCCCGGCCTGGCTCTGTCGTCCCTGCCTGGCCGACGGCCGGCCCGGCTTCGCCGTCCTCTTCTCGGCTGCCCCTGCCTGGATGCTGCCCCTGCTTGGCCTGCCTCTGTCGCTCCTCGTCCAGGCTGGCTCCCCGAGCGCGTGAGCCTGCTGCCGCTCCTCGTCCAGGCTGCTTGCTACGGGCCCATGAGCTCCTGGCTCTCGCCTGCCTAGGCCGAGCACCCGAGCGAGCCCGCGTGTGCTCGATCTGGATCGATCCAGATCGGGTCCTCTGCTTCCGTTGACTCCAAAAAAAACAGAGACTCCTCATGTCTTCTTCGGGCTATGTTGCTGTTCCTTGGTGCTCAGTGATCTTCGATGGCACCAACTATGCTGAGTTTGTGGGTTTCATGCGCATCCATATGCGGGGTCTTCTTCTGTGGGGCGTTCTCTCTGGCGAGGTCCCCTGTCCGCCATGCCCTATTGCTCCAGTGGCTCCTACCCCGCCGGTGCCGCCAATTCTTGCTGTTGATGCTTCCCAGGCTGATCGGGATGCAGCCAAGGCTCTTGATGATGCTGCGGTTGATGCCTATGATCAGCAGGTATCCGCTTATTCAGATGCTCTTTCTGTCTACCGCGATGATCTGTCTGCTTACACTCAGTGGTGCAATGATAATGCTTGAGTTGCTGCCGTTCTCACTGCGAGTGTCCTTCCTCAGTTTGCTTCGGAGTTCATGGGACTCGACACAGTTGCAGCGATGTGGTCTTATCTCTGTTAGCGCTATCAGCCCTCTGGTGATGCTCTCTACCTATCTGTGGCGAGTCAGGAGCACGCACTCCAGCAAGGTGATTCTTCTGTTGACGAGTTCTATTCACAGTACTCTGCCATCTGGCGCCAGCTTGACTCTCTTCGGACAGTTGTTTGTGGAACTTGCCGTTGCTGTCAGACTACACGGTCCGATTTGTAGTTTCAGAGGGTCCATGAGTTCTTATCTCGTCTCCGTTCTGAGTTCGAGCCTCGACGTGCTTGCTTGCTTGCTCGTGGTCGTGTTCCTATCTCGGAGGTGCTTGTCGAGCTTCGTGCTGAGGAGACCCGCCTTCGCTCTCCTGGGTTGCTTGCGGTTCCGTCAGTATTGGCTGCCCGAGCTCCTGTGTCCTCTGCTCGTCTCACTGCTCCACCGCTCCTGCCCACACCTTCAGGGGGGTAGGTTGCCCTCCTTGTGTTGAGAAGGGCTGGTCGCGCTGTGACACCTTCTGTGACTACTGCTCCAGGCCAGGTCACCCAGAGTCTGATTGTCGCTAAAAGCAGCGAAACCAGAGGCGCTCCTCCAGTGGGACTCCTGTGTCGTCATCGACTCCGTCACTCACTGACCAGGACATTGTGCGGCTCAAGCGCCTTCTAGCTTCCTCCGGTTCTTCATCGACGGGCTCTGCTGCTGCTGTGACTGCTTTCACCACTTCATCACCGCCGGCATCTACACCGTTAGGTACATCTTCATGGGTTCTGGACTCTGGAGCTTTTCTTCAGCATTGTCTTCTCTTCGCCCTCTTGATTCTCCTATTAATGTTCTTACTGTCGATGGCACATCTCTTCCTGTTGCCAGTCGCGGCATTCTTTCCACTCCGTCCTTTTCTGTTCCTAGTGTTTCACATGTTCCTCGCCTTACCATGAATCTTTTTTCCGCCACCCAACTTACTGATTCTGGTTGTCGTGTCATTCTTGATACCAACTCTTGCTCCATTCAGGATCGTCGCACCAAGGCTTTGGTTGGTGCTGGCCCCCGGCGCCGTGAGTCAGAGGGCCTTTGGGAGGTTGACTGGCTTTGTGTTCCTTCCGCTGCCACCACTTCTGCCAGCTTTCATGCTCTTGCTGCCTCCTCGTTTGCATCCTTCCAGCAGTGGCATCATCGCCTTGGTCACATCTGTGGCTCTCGCTTGTCATCCTTAGTGCGTCAGGGCCTCTTGGGGTCTGTATTTGGAGATGTTTCTTTACATTGTAATGGTTGTAGACTTGGCAAACAGACCCAGTTACCTTATCCTACCAGTGAGTCGGTATCTCAGCGTCCTTTTGACTTAGTTCATTCTGATGTCTGGGGACCGACTCCCTTTGATTCGAAAGGTGGTCATCGCTACTATGTTTTGTTTATTGATGATTTCTCTCGCTACACTTGGCTCTACTTCATGAAATCTCGTAGCGAGGTTCTCTCTATATACAAAAGATTTGCTGCCATGGTTCACACCCAGTTTTCCACGCCTATTCGCACTTTTCGTGCTGACTCCGCTAGAGAGTATATCTCCCAGCTGTTGCGTCGTTTTCTTGCGGAACATGGTACTCTTGCCCAGTTCTCATGTCCTGGTGCTCATGCTCAGAATGGCATTGCGGAACGTAAGCATCGTCATTTGCTTGAGACGGCTCGTTCGCTGATGATTGTCGCTTCCCTTCCACCCCACTTTTGGGCTGAGGCTGTCTCTGCATCCACCTATCTCGTCAACATTCAGCCATCGACTGCCCTGTAGGGTGGTATTCCTATGGAGTGTCTCACTGGTCGTTCTCCTGACTACTCAGCTCTTCGTATGTTTGGATGTGTGTGCTATGTCCTTCTTGCCCCGCAGGAACGCACCAAACTGACTGCTCAGTCGGTTGAGTGTGTTTTCCTTGGCTACAGTGATGAGCACAAGGGCTACCGCTGTTGGGATCCTGTTGGTCGTCGCTTGCGTATCTCACGTGATGTGACTTTTGACGAGTCTCGTTCTTACTAACCACGTCCTTCTTCCTCGAGCTTCTCTGTGGACGATATTTCTTTTCTTCTCCTTCCCGATACACCCTGCTATGTGCCTCATGCTTCACCTCTTCCTCCGGCACCTCTCATTCATTCTCATTCACCACTGACACCATCTTCCCCATCCTCCTCCTCCACCTCTCCACCATCCTCTCCAATCCGTCGCCCTCTCTCACCGTTTCCTCTCCACTATACTCGCCGCCCTTGTACTGAGGATGCTTCCCCTGATGCGCCTTCCACCTCTGGTGCGCCTCCCTTCACGCCTCCCCAGGTTCATAATCTCCGTGCTCGGCCACGTCCCCCGCCTGATCGCTATTCTCCTGATCGGTACGGCCTCTCTGTTATTGCTGAGCCCACTTCCTATCGGACTGCCATGACTCAGCCTGAATGGCAGCTTGCGATGGCCGAAGAGCTTGCTGCCCTTGAGCGCTCTGGCACTTGGGATCTGGTTTCCCTTCCTTCCGGTGTTCGTCCCATCACCTGCAAATGGGTCTACAAGATTAAGACTCGCTCCGATGGTTCTCTTGAGCGCTACAAAGCTCGACTTGTGGCCCGTGGTTTTCAGCAGGAGCAGGGACGCGATTATGATGAGACATTCATTCCTGTGGCCCACATGACCACTATCCGCATTCTCCTTGCTGTGGCTTCTGTTCGTCATTGGTTTATCTCTCAACTTGATGTCCAGAGCGCCTTTCTCAATGGCGAGTTGCATGAGGAGGTTTATATGTAGCCACCACCGGGGTACTATGCTCCCGATGGTATGGTCTGTAGACTTCGCCGCTCCCTCTATGGTCTTAAACAGGTCCCTCGTGCATGGTTCGAGCATTTCGCCTCTGTGGTGACTGCCGCTGGTTTCTTGCCCAGTGATCATGATCCCGCGTTGTTTGTTCACACGTCTCCTCGTGGTCGGATTCTTCTCCTTCTCTATGTTGATGACATGATCGTCACTGGTGACGACTCTGACTACATTGCCTTTGTTAAGGAACGCCTTCGCGACCAGTTCCTCATGTCTGATCTTGGTCCACTTCGATATTTTCTTGGGATTGAGATCTTCTCGACCTCTGATGGCTTCTACATCTCCCAGGAAAAATATATTCAGGATCTTCTTGCTCGTGCCGCCCTTGGTGATGAGCGCATTGTTGTGACTCCTATGGAGCTCAACGTTCAGCTTCGTGCCTATGACGGTGACCCTCTTCCTAATCCCACTCGCTATCGTCACCTCGTTGGCAGCCTTGTCTACCTTGTTGTTACGCGTCCCGACATCTCCTATCATCTCCACATCCTGAGTCAGTTTGTTTCAACACCCACCTTTGTCCACTACAATCATCTCCTCAGTGTTCTACGATATCTTCGTGGCACGATCTCTCATCGCCTTTTCTTTCCCCGCTCCAACTCTCTAGAGCTCCAGGCCTACTCTGATGCTACCTGGGCTGGTGATCCCTCTGATCGACGCTCGTTGTCTGCTTACTGTGTCTTTCTTGGTGGCTCTCTTATTGCCTGGAAGACAAAGAAATAGACTGCATTTTCTTGCTCGAGTACAGAGGCTGAGTTGCGAGCAATGGCTATGTTGACGGCTGAGGTGATCTGGTTACGGTGGTTACTTGAGGATTTTGGTGTGTCAGCTACTACCTTGACTCCCTTGCTGTCAGACAATACTGGTGCTATCAGTATTGCACGTGACCCGGTGAAGCATGAGCTCACCAAGCACATCAGTGTGGACGCCCACTTTGTGCGTGCTGCTGTGCAGGATCAGACTCTTGCTCTTCACTATGTGCCCTCTGAGTTACAGTTGGCGGACTTCTTCATGAAGGCACAAACTCGAGCGCAACATGGCTTTTTTCTCTCCAAACTCAGT